AGTTTCTGAAATTTTGAAATGTCACCTGTCATGTGCCTTGAACATCCGCTATCCAGGTACCAAATGGACTCTTGTTGCTGTTCTTGAAAGATCAAACATCAAGTATTTGGTACCCTTAAGTATTTTGGGTCCTTAGGAGTCAAATTTTCGGTTTAACATGTTTTGGAACCCATCTCTTCTTACCTTGCGGCACAAAATATTTCCTAGCATGACAAAATTTTATAGTATGTCCTTTCTTCATGCAATAATGACAAGATGAGAAAGGGGATGTTGTAGCTTTTCTAAATGAAAAGAAGTTCAAATATTTTTTAGTTTTTACCCCAATCTTAGGTTTGTACCCGATTCCAGTATGTTCAAACACACAGTTTTGAGACCCAAGGAGTGCATCTAAATTCTCTTTACCTTGAGTAAACTTAGACAAAGTTTTAATGAAGTAATCAACCTTATCTTGCAGAAGAATACACTTTTCACAATTCTTATTAGCAGCAACATTATCCGCAGATGCATAGATTATATCTACATGTTCTAAATCTGTTTTGCTTTCTAATAGTTCTTTTTCCAGAACTTTAACTCTATTTTCTAACCAGTTATTTAATCCTTTTAACCGATTATTTGTATGAGATACATTTCTGGCTTCACTATGAATTTCATTGAAAGCATTCAGTAATGTACTGTAATTCATTTCATTTTCTGTAGGAGTTGAACTTACATGTGATGAAGAAGATTCACAGCCGACCATCAAACATAGGTTCACCTCTTCACCTTCGGATCCGGAACTGGAGGATGAATCATTGTCTTGCCAAGCTATGTAGGCCTTTTTCCCTTTGTATTTTGAATCTTTCTTGTTCTGATTCTTGGTCTTTTCCGGACAGTCACTCCTTATGTGTCCCTGCTTACCACAAGAATAACAAGTAATAGCATTTTGAATAGATTCAGTCTTTTTATCAGTGTACCTTTTTACTTGACCAGTTTTGTTCTTCCTTCTAAGAAATTTCCCAAATTTCTTAACCAACAAAGTCAGATTTTCGGATTCATCTCCTTCAGACTCACTGTTTTCTTCAATCGTCTTAAGAATAATGTTTCTACTTTTCTTTTCTGCATTCTCTTGTTCTTTGAACCGATTGATTTCCAACTCATGTTCCCTTAACTTACCAAATAGTGAAGCAGTAGTCATTTCAGTCAAGTCTCTTGATTCTGATATAGTTGTCACCTTTGGTTGCCAAGTTCTGTCCAAACACTTCAAGATTTTGATGTTCAACTCTTCCTTGTCAAAAATCTTTCCTAGCCCAATTAGATGATTGACTATGTGCGTGAACCTTTTCTGTACATCTGCAATTGTTTCTCCTTGCTGCATTTTAAACAATTCATAGTCCCTAATTAACTCATGCTTTCTCGCCCTTTTCACATCAGATGTACCTTCATGTGTGACCTCTAGAATTTCCCACATTTCTTTGGCAGAGGAACATTGAGACACCCTGAAAAACTCATCAAGATTTAAAGCAGAGGTAATAATATTTTTAGCAGTATAATCATATTGGACTCTCCTATTTTCTGCATCAGTTAATTCAGCCCAATTTTTTTTCAACTACTTTACCATCCACTATATGAGTTGGTTTGTAAGGACCATTAACAATTGTTTCCCAAATACCTCTATCAAGAGATTCAATAAAGATTTTCATTCTAACCTTCTAGAAAGAATAATTCACACCAGAAAAAAGAGGAGGCCTGTTTATGGAGGCTCCTTCTGAAAAATTCATCTTTCCCTCAGCCATTCTTGGACCGATTTCTTGAGTAACTTACAAGAACCAGCTCTGATACCAATTGAAAGAATTAATGGTTGAGTTCAAGAGGGGGGGTGAATTGAACTTTATAAAACTTTTTCGCAAAACTTACTTTCTTTTGGAAGAATGATTTATCTTTATTCAATTCTTGTGTAGGTAGATTGATTTTAAACACAGCAAGTATATAGACAAGAAATAAAGGAGATGAAAGAAGAAATTCAACACAACAATTTATACTAGTTCACTCTTCACCAGAGCTACGTCTAGTTCTTGACAAATCTGCCAAGTTCCACTAATACCAAGTGACAATTACAACCAGTAGATACTCACCAATCTACCCCAAGAACTATCTTACAAACCCACAAGATAGACTCTTGAAAACCTCTCAGTAACCAAATCCAGTTACTGTAACAAGTACAGATCAAATTCCAACCTGCACAAAATACACTTTACAAAAGAGTATGAAAAGAAAAAACCTGGACTGCGGCTCTATCAGTAAAATTGTCCAGAACAGATTCTAACACAACACTTTCTCTCTTTGATTGACCACAATTTTGATCAAAGCACCTTATGATATAACAAAGTTCTTGAATGCAGAGAAAGACATGTATATTATAGCTTCACAGATTGATTTCAAATGTTTTCTCAAGTTGTGTTTTTCAAAAGATAGATCAAATCTGTATTTATAAAGTAAAACAGAGATCCAGAACGTTTCATTAATTAAAAACTGAATCAGAGAGGCAAATGATTGATCAGAATAAAATATAATAGGTTAGAATCGATTGTGATCGATTAGAACAGTATTATGATCGATTAGAACAAGTTATGATCGATCAGAATGAAATTATGATCGATCAGAATGCATTTCAATTGATTAAAACGACGATTCAATCGATTGATTTCATTTACAACTTTATTCAATCGATTGATTCGAGTTTTCAATTGATTGAAACAACTTTGTGAAAAATGATAGCTCTCTGTTTCAACAGATTAAAAAATATTTCAACAGATTGATTTTCTGAAAACTCTTAGACTGAAAAAAAAATAGTCTTTCTGTTTCAACAGATTAAAAAACATTTTAACAGATTGAAAATGTGAAACCTTGATATTGAAAAATTCATTAAATCATTTTAACCTATTGATTCTGCGATTCAACCAATTTAAAATTTCGACTATGTATGATCACTTATTCTGTTAAGTGATTTTATCAGATTGAAAATCATTTTCAACAGATTGAAAAACTTAGTTTGTTCTTTTAATGTTTAAATGCTAGTTTTTCATGCAGAAAAATGATTTTACTGAGATGCATCATATTAAGGCGCTTATCACAAAATATATTGGCCTATCAAGAGATTAAGTTCAAGCTCCTAGCCTATTCATCTACACACCCCACAAACTAAACTATATCCACTCAACATTATGTCTTCATCAAATCCACCAAGTGCTTCAAGTAGTAGTAAACACGATTTTAGAAATGAAATGCGTTTATTATTGTTGACACTAAAAGTTGAAGGTGAGCCCGTATAAAAAGAAAATAAATCCTAAAGCATTGGGCAGAGCTAATGGGTTTGAAAACAAAATATTACATTTCATCAGTACTGAACACCATGGGTAATTCTACAACCATCCAATTGTCAAGTTCCATACTCGGAGGACATAGGCAAACAAAATTCTGGATTGCATCACCGACCCCCTCTTCGACAGTCACCACTTGTTCGACATTTACCCACCCAGCGCTACGGAAGCTCTGCTTAATATCACAGATGGGGATCCTTCCAATTCTTGGCTCACGTCCCTCCAAGCAGGCCAGATTCCTCTCCTTCCTCTCTTCCATCACCCTCTTTCTATCTTCCTTGGTAGGCTTGTACCCTAAGCCATATCTGCCTCTGTTTTCTGGAATCTCCAAGGGGAACGCCAAACCTTGATTATTCTTTTCGAGCCCGTTCCCGTACTTAAATTCATTTCTTAAGAAGACTTTGGCCACCATCAGGGATGCACATGAAGAATGGGGCTTGGCTTGGAACAGTTCTACGTATGCACTGTTCACAATTTCTAGGGCCTGAAATGATGTTTCCAAAGCTTCCTCGGTCGCCTCAATATATTTGGTAGACAATGGCCCTTTCACCAGTAAGTCTTCTTCCCTAGAGACTATGATCAATTTGTCCCCCATTACAAACTTCAACTTTTGGTGCAACGTGGAGGGCACAACCCCAGCTGTGTGGATCCATGGTCGTCCTAACAAACAACTATATGTGGGCAAAATATCCATTACTTGGAAGGTAACCTGGAAGGTGCACGGACCGACCTGAATTGGTAGTTCCATCTCTCCCATAACTTCTCTCTTGCTTCCATCAAACGCTCTTACCACCATAGAGCTGGGTTTCATATGCATTTTCCCGCATGACAGCTTATCGAGTGTGGCTTTTGGCATGACATTCAGAGATGAGTCATTGTCGATGAGTACCCGTGCAATGACATGGTCTAGGCACTTGACAGAGACATGTAGAGCCTTATTATGTCCTCTTCCCTCAGTTGGGATCTCCTCCTTAGTAAAAGTGAGGTAATTGTTGGTGGTGATATTACTAACAATCCCTTCAAATTTATCCAGTGATATTCCCTGCTTCACATGAGCACTACTCAAGACCTCCATTAACAACTTCCTATGAGTGGCGGAATGCATCAATAGCTCGAGTAGAGAGATTCTGGCCGGCATTCGATTCAATTGATCGACCATCTTGTACTCGCTCTGTTGGATAAATTTAAGGAACTCGCAAGCTTCTTCATCAGATACATCTTTTCTCGTATTAATGTCTTTTCCTTCTGGCTTCACATCCCCTTGTGTAGCCTTTCCTTTTAGGGATTCTTTTTCACCCTCGGTCGCTACCTTTCCAACCTGGACCTTTCCTTCCTAGTTTCCTGTCGTCCTCATATTAGGTGGTGAGAAAAAACAACCACTCCTCATCACACCCCCATACCAGAGATATTATCGACCCTTGAGGTGTCGGCATAAAGGGTATCATTCGTCCTCCCCTCTGTTAACACATTTATGCCATACTTCCAAGGGACCGCCTTTTCGCTCTCGTACGGGAAAGGGGAGGGTACTTGAATTACAATGGGTTGCCTTCCCTGAGATAGAGGTGGATGTGAAGTTTTAGTGAAAAGGACCACTAACGGTTTTGGCAACGTCAGCTCTTGCTCCTCGCCCATTTACATGAACACCTCCCCTTCTTTCCGCGCACTATTGATCTGGATTTTATGGGTGTCTATGAGACATTGTAGTATCCTCTCGGCTTCTGAACAATGCTCTAAAGAATGTTTCGCTCTTGGATGAAGGTCGCACACCTCTCCTTTGACATACCTTTGGTGCAACATGTTGTACTCCTATAGCTTCTCAAAGATGAAACCTTTCGGAGTTTTAATCTTACTTGCCCTTTTCATGAATGAGTATTCGTCTTCACCCCCTACAACATTGGCGAAAGCACCTCCATGTCCTGTTAGTGGATTATTCTCAATATTGGGTTTTTCCTCTTGGAAGCTCAACCACCCGCAATCAATCAATGCTTGTACCTTATGCTTAAGGCCAAGGCATCTCAAAATCAAGAACAAAATCAAGGCATCTTGTTGCCGCCGTCAAAAGAGGCGGTCGGAGCGACGCGATGATTTCCAACTTCCGCTTCGCGTTTTAAAGTGATGTTACAACGCCTTTAGGTTGTCCGATAACCGGGCTGGACCTAAAGGCGAGGTTTTCGAAAATGGGTTCTGGATTCGCCACCAATGTTTTATCGGGAATCATTGGAAGAGGAGAAAAAAGAAAGCATTGCTTTTGAAAAACCAACTTTGGCCATTATAACCAGAGTTGGGTAAGGGAGTTAGTTACGTGTAGGGAAGTTATTAGCTTCCCTATGACGCCCCTTTCGGGTTCCCTATGATGGGCCGTTTATTTCATAAGTAAACCTTAAAATGACACATTTACCCTTTTATTTCCGGAATTAAAGATGATGACTACATGGCCCTAGTAGCTAATACATAGATAAATGTAAGGAAATAATGATAAAAAGAAGGATAGAAAGTAAGAAAACCTTCGAAGCGAGCTTTCTTGATTAATATTCTTGAAATAGGACGCTTTTTGGCAGTCCTTCGCTCTATAATGTTGATCGCTCTTTCTCGCAACACTACAAAACACTCTCTAAGAACACTAAGAAAACTCCAAAAATGATTCGAAGGGATTTAGGAGAGGAATTTGAAGAAATTGTAGAAGAGAAAGTTGAAGAACTGTGTGAAAAGAAGAGGAGTGCACCCTCCTTTTATAGGGATTCACACTTGTCAAGTCGAGATGGTCGTCTCGCCTGGCAAGGTCGAGACCGTCGTCTCGCCAAACGGGACGACGGTCTCACCTTTGACAAATGGCGAGACGGTCGTCTCGCCAATCAAGAAAGCGTTATCGATTTGATAAATGGCGAGAATATCATATCGCCAAACGGGAAGGCGGTCTCGCCATTGGCAAGTGGCGAGATGACCATCTCGCCAAACAAGACGGCGGTCTCGCCCTTTGCTAATGGCGAGACAACGGTCTCACTAAGCGAGACGGCGGTCTCGACCTTCTAAGTGATCCTCCCTATTTTTCTGTACAAAAAACCTTCCTATTTTAATTTGGGGTCTACAACTGCCCCCCCTTCACCTGACTAGCCGACTGTTGGCCTATTACGCTGAAAAGATTGGCTGGAGGGTGAAGGAGTTAACCCTCTTGCCCGGCTGTCCTTCGGATGCTCCATCTTGTGGTAGCCGACCCTCGAGACAAAAAAAAAGTGTGTGTGCGCCTCTGGGATGCTCCTTCATGCGGTAGCCGACCCCTTCGGTTGACACGTTGTAGAACCTCAGGATGCTCCTTCTTGCGGTAGCCAACCCTTCGGTTGATGAGTATGAACCCCCATCTGGTTGCTTGTAGCTTTGGGATGCTCCTTCTCGCGGTAGCCAACCCCTTGACTGACAAGTGGCGTCGCCGCCGTAAAAGAGAGGCGGTCGGAGCGACGCGATGGTTCCGACTTTCCAATTTTCACGTTTTTATGGGTGATGTTACAACACCTTTAGGTTGTCCGATAACCGGGTTGAACCTAGGGGCGAGGTTTTCGAAAAGGTGTTCTTGGATTGTCTGATAACCGGGCTAACCCAAGAACTAATTTGAAGGGGTTCTTATGGAGTTGTCACCGATGTTTTTACCGGAGGAAAAAGGCGTTGGTTTTCGAAAACCAACTTTGGTCGCTAAAACCAGAGTTAGGTAAGGGAGTTAGTTACGTGTAAGGGAAGTGTTAGTTCCCTTACGACACCCCTTTCGGGTTCCCTATGATAGGCCAGATATTTTATAAATAAACTTTTGAAAAGACGCTTTTACCCTTTTATTTACGGAATTAAAATAACGACTACATGGCCCTAATGTCTATTATACAATTTAATCATAAAAATAAAGACAGTAAAAGAGAGGGAGAGAATGAAGAAACCTCCGAGGCAAGCTTTTGATTAAGTTTTTTGAAAAGTAGGGTGCATTTTGGCAGCCTTTCGCTCTTGACAACGCTAAAAACTCTCTCGAAACGCTATAAAAAGCTCTCAAAAACTCCGGAAATGCTTCGGAGGGACTCTAGGAAGAGAATTTGAAGAAAGTGTAAAAGGGAAAGTGGAAGAATTGTGTGAAATGAGGGGGGGAGTGCTCACTATTTATAGGGATTCGCGTCTGTCAGGTTGAGACGACCGTCTCGTCTGACAAGGTCGAGATGACCGTCTCGCCATTCGGGACGACCGTCTCAACTTGCAAAAGTGGCGAGACCGCCGTCTCGTTTGGCGAGACAGTGGTATCGACTTTCCTAGAGACGAGAGGGCCTTCTCGCCAATCGGGAGGGGGGTCTCGCCATTGGCAAGTGGCGAGATGGCCGTCTCGTTTGGCGAGACGGCCGTCTCGACTTGCAACAATGGCGAGACGGTGGTCCCGAAAAGCAAGATGGCGGTCTCGACCCCTGATGGCAAAAATCCTTATTTTTATACAAAAAGTTCTTCCTATCCTAATATGGGGCCTAATAGTCTCTCCTAGTGGCTTATTAGGCTGCGTCCATCTTCAAATAGGAGGTCTTCTGCTCTTATTTTGAGGCCGGGAAAGATTTGGGGTCTACAACTACGCCCCCTTTACCTAACTAGTCGACTGTTGGCCTGTCGTGCCAAGGAGATCGACTGGAGGGTAAAGGAGTTGACCCTCTTGCCCGGTTACCCTTCGAATTTTTCGTCTTGCGGTGGTTGATCTTCTGGGGAAAAGTGTGTTGTGCACCTCCAGGATACTCCTTCTGACAGTAGCCGATCCCTTCGGTTGACACATGGTAGAACCTCAGGATACTCCTTCTGACGGTAGTCGATCCTTCGGTTGATGGGTATAAACCCCCCATCAGGCTGGTAGTTACAGTCCACTGTGCGTAGGACTGGATGAGTATAAACCCCCCATTAGGCTGGTAGTTGCGACTTACTGATCCGGTTTGCGTTCAGATCAGGCACACCGCGTGCGCATGTTGATAGGTATGAACCCCCTATCAGGCTGGTACAGTCCACTGTGTAGGACTGATGGTGGTGGCGGCTTACTGCTTAGGTGGCTCATGCACCGTTTAGGCGAACCTTGTGTGTTGGTTGATAGGTATGAACCCCCTACCAGGCTGGTACAGTCCACTGCATAGGACTGGTGGTGGTGGCGGCTTACTGCTCAGGTGGCTCATGTGCCGGGTGTTGAGATACTTTCCTTTGTCTTTGTTTTTTGTCTTTTCTGAGAGTGGTCGTCCGGTTTGTGCCGGGGATTCTGTTGGTGTTCATCCAGCTAGTTAGCTGCTGGGATGGTCTTGTTTGTTTTATTGTTTGACTCTTGCTTGGTTGTCGAAAATTATTGGTCAAGGTGATTGACTTGTTTTAATCCTGCCTTTTTTCGCGGTTTATCTCTTTTTTCTCGCGATTTCGGATTTTGGCTTTTTTCGGGATTTGAGCGTAAGTCTTTTTACTTTTAGTTTCTTTTTTCTACGCTGACTTTTTCGAAAAAGGAGAGCAAAAATGGATGAAATAAAATTTTTATTTATGATAAAATAAATTTTTGGGTTACAGCAGTTATTTTTAAGCATTATCCCTAAGACGACAGACTTGAGCTTGGAGATGATCCGGAAGAAGGGAATTGTCGGTACATGTGCCTTCGGAATTCTGCCTGGTCTCGGACTTCGTCACGGTATTCCTGTCGGAACATCGCCAGGTCTTGCCTTATTCCCTCTTGGAACTGGCCGAATGTCTCCATCCTTGTGTCGAAGGCGTCCTGCCTTAAAGACATCTGGTCCTGTCTCAGGGACATTTGGTCGAATTACTGGCGCAAGTTGTAGATGTTGCGGTTGATGCCAGCAAAGTCGTCTATGTACTGTTGTTGTTGTTGTTGTTGTTCTTGTTGGAACTCCGGGGGTGTTGGGAGATCTTGCATTGCTACGATGTCCCGGAGATCCAAAGTTATGTCCAGCGAGGGGTGGAGGATCAACCGGGACCCTTGGCGTAGTAGCATCCCCATGCTGACTAGGACAGACCCGTTGATAGTCTCAGGTCGGAGGTTGGAAGCCTGTTCTTCCCTGCCATTGCACCCCCATTTTTCTGCCAATGGGGTGATGAGGGGAGCCATGAGGATGACTCCCATAGGACGGCTTCCGAAGTCCTTGAGGGCCTTCAGGAAGAAATAGTCGGGGTTGCATCGGTGCCCCAGGTTCATGCAGTAGAAGGCGAAGATATCTGGGAGGGTAACCTTACCCTGACTCTCTTTCCGCCCGTGGACCATCCTGGCCAGCAGCTTGTGGCAAATGCGGAGGGCAGGGGTGAGTGCGGAGCCCTTCAGCAGTGTTGGCAGAGTGTGTATCCCGGTCAGCTCCTCCCACATTTCGTCGGCGGTGAGGGTAGCTGGGGGCGCGTAGATGGCGTCCTGGTAATCCCGAGTCAGGACATCCTCGGGTCGGATGAATCCAATGGACACATTGAACTCGTCTAGGGTGGTGGTCTGGTATATCCCGTTCATGAAGTACGTCACCATCTTCGTCAGTGGGAGGCCCAGCTTCTTGGAGGGAGACTCGCAGTAGGAGATGGAGGCGAGGAATTCCATTACCGCCTATGGGTAGACGTGAGTGGGCGGAGACTGGAGGAGGAAGCGCCACCCTATACTGTCAATGTGGGCGCGAACGTCATCTTCCCACCCGAATTCGGCAAGGATGCCGAAGTCCAACCTCAGCATGGGGTGCCAAGTGTACCCCCGGACGTGTTCTAGGCGGGCCTGGTGTAAGGGTGAGAGCTGTGTGGGATCTTGTGGAGTGGGGGCTGTGGAGCTACTG